CTGATTCAGCTCTCTATCTACACACGATGCAAAGACGGTTTCTGTGGGAGGGGGAGGTTCGACTGCAGGTTCGGCCTCGCCTGGGACCCTTTTCTTTGGGGGGGGTACCACTGCGGGTTCGACTTCGGGCTGGACTTCGGGCTTGAAAGCGGAGTGGAAAGGACTGCAAGGCATCTGCGCTCCTGTTTTTTGGGAGGGGGGGCCTAGGAGGTTGGACTTCGGGTTCGGCTTCGCGTTCGACGGGTGTGAAAGGGCCTTTGGGTTCGGCTTCGGGTGCGCCTTCGGACTGGACTGTGGGCTTGAATGCCGGGGTCTTAAGGAGGCAGAGGAATCTACGCTCCTGCATTTTTTCAAGGGGATTGGAGGGGAGGTTCGGCTTCGGGTTTGCAGGGGGCTCGTGATGCATTTTTGTGGAGGGGGGAGAGGTTCGACTGCGGGTTCGGCTGCGGGAATCAGCGCTACTGTTTCTTTTTCACGGGGGGGTGGGGGGGAGGTTCGACTTCGGGTTCGCATGGGGCTCGTGATGGTTTTACCATATTTTTCCCTTCAAGTCTGTGGAATCCTTTGAATCACTCTGCGGCCAAAGCCACCAGTGCCAGCACGACTACAGAGCCCATGGCTTTCCAGCGCCAGCTTCCAGGGGTGGCAGGCGCCTGCCAGTACATCCAAATAAAATCAAGATTCAGAAGATTCCTCAAGAAAATATTCATGTGACTTGCGTTCATTGCTTGAAAATATTATATATATATATATACGAGTCGCAAACACTATGTGTTTTCCTGGTCTCTTGAGACCTTCAGGCTGACGATTTGGGGGGAAAGGAGTCGAATTAAGTGGACACATCCTTTTTCTTCATGTTCAAACCGCACCTCTGGCACTTCCACCAACAACTCTTGAGCTTCTTCCATGGGAACGGCTGAATGAGTGCTAGACATCGTGATCTGAGAAGACGAGATCGGGAACAGTTCAGCCGTCTGTGAGCAGAGGTGCTGCAGAAAGAATCCACTCAGGTTTCAAGCAAGCAAAAATCGGCAGCGAAAAGCACTTGGTCTTGAAATTTGATGGAATTTGAAGAGGGTGCTTCAAAAATGCAAAAAGCATGGAGTTCCCTTCAAATCCTGGCCCCAAAAGCTCCGCTCGGTTGTTTCCAGCGCCGGCGCGCCGCGGCTTCACTGACGAACGACCTGCGCATGTTCAAAAATGAGCCGATGGTGCCGGTTGCAAGGAGGAGCAAGAACGAAGGGGACAGTTGAAAACGGGTGTCTTTTTCCGCACTTTTCTCTGGAAGTAGAACTTTGCATGCTAAATGCCACTTCTCAGGTGGAAAGTAAACACCGAGGTTTCGTGGCATCAGGCGCGTGATCCTGCCTCAGCTGAACCACAAGACTTCTCTGACTGATCTCTCAAACCCATTCAAATCCGCACATCCACAGACACATACGCGTCCAAATTCTCTACATCTGCCAGTGAAACATGTCGCACGCCCAACCGACGCCGACGCCCCCCTCATCGGCGCCCAACCGCCGGCGCCTTGGCGAAGTTAGCGGAAGGCGGCTCGCCCAGCGGCGCCGTCCGGCGGCCTGTGGGGAGCGAGAAACGTCGCACGAGTTGCACCACACGTCACAGTCGATCTGTTTTGGCTCCTCCGGTTCGGAAAAGATCGAAAAGTATGGAGCTCAGTGGGATCAATCATCCCAAAGGTTGAACACGAAAAAAGACAACGAAACCACAGTGCAGTTCTGCATTTATCCTGCATTGATTCCGGCGTCCGAGACATTTTGAGCACGTGTCATTGGCACGGTGCTCATGGTAAGAAGCATATAAATGTGCGAGGTCTTGTCTCCCTGGAGAAGAGTGTTTCCTCGACTTGTCAAAATAAGGCGTCAAATGCCCAGCCACTACCCCTTGAGGGGTATACCGGACTGAGTTACATCGCCATGCGTCCATGGCCCATGCGGCCAAAATCACGTCCAAGGCCCTGAAGCCCCAAAAGGTTCAGAACTATGAACAATAGGTTTAGAATGAGTTAGACGACGCAGCGAGGTGTCCTCGATCAGCATTGCAGCGGAACTTCCCACCAAAGAAAGTTCAGAAGCCTGTCCAAGCCTGCCATGGGGGCATCACACAGGCCTCGCATGTATCCCGCTCCAATCAAGAGGTAGGTGAGCCCAATCACAAACTCTCCAATACAGCCCACCATGCAAAGCTGGTGTTCGAATGGGATCTCACGCAAACCGTGCAACGAAGGAGCTGGCACCAGAGATCGCGGTTGACCCATTCCTGCGCGGAGACGACACCACATCGAGTCCTGCCGTGGGCCTAAGGAGACTCTCTGCTGCAGCACCTTTGCCTCGGTCTCGAGGGAATCCTTCTTAGTGAGGCTTGCCATGGTCGACCTACTGGACTTCCGCCCACTCAACTCCAATTCGTCCATTCGCCAGGGGTCACTGGCTGCTTCTGTTGGAAGGTTCTCCACGGCCACAAGCTGCTTTGGATCAGCATTCGTGCCTGCGCTGTACTTCTTAAGAAGTCCCGGGCCTACAGGGTTGCAGCATGCAGCAATACTATACAGATCAAAAACACGTACGTGACGAACACATTCACATGGAAGTGGAGTGAAACCCGCCGTCCCTAAAGAAAAGCCGTCTTCCTTTCGGGCCATGCTATCCACTCCACGTTGGTGAGTCAGTGTAGAAGCATTCGGAAAATTTCCAACAAGAGCAAGTCCTGTGCTCGTGAGGGACGTTTTGCTGTTCACGGTAAAACCCCCGAACGCCGCCCGCCTGCGGGGTTCACGGGCAAAAGCTCATGCACAACGACGACATCCTCGATCTTCTCAAGAATGAAGCAAGCAATCAGCACGCACATGGCAGAAGTGTTGAAGAATGGAGCCTTAGGGCCATTCATGGACCATCCATATTCAATGGCCCTTGCGGCCACCAAAGCCCAAATGGCCGCAAAACGGAAATAGCCACCGTAGACCTTCAGCTCGTCATGTAGCTTGCTCCATGCGGTAGGGGCGAACCAAGCCATAGCTGTTGGGCCTCCCCGGATCTTGGTGGTGATCTTGATGAGGGCAAAGCGTGACCATCCCAAGCGAGCCGAGATGTTGAGAGCCACACTCAACAAGGTGGTTGGCACCCAGGTGTAGCCGCCGCTGATCACAGCTCCTGAAAAGGTGGCAGCCAAACGACAAGCTTCTGCCAGAGCGTGAGCACAGTAGATCACTGCGGGCCCATTCAGGAAAAGTTGATCACCAGCCACCACTAGCTCACCTGCCTTCACCCTGGCTTCGAACACAAACTTGTTGTAAGTGAAGCGGGCATAGACCGCGATTCCGATTTCTGTGGCAGCGGTGGCGAACGGCAGGAAAAGGGCTGCCGCAAGGGTGTTCCCTGACGCCACCAAAGTTCCATAGCCCAGGCCAACCAGTGCAAAAATGATCCAGCCGCCCCAACTGCCAACGAGCTGAGCAATGGTCCACAGCGCAGACGGCCAGATGCGTCTTTCGGGATGTCTGTCTTGCGTGAGCCAATAGTTCAATGCTGGTGCAGTAGCAAGCATGGGCATTTCTGCTGCTGTGGGAGCCAAGAAATCTGAGAACTGGAAGTAAGTGATCGCTAGGATAGCCACCACAAAGATGATGTGACCCACCTGATAGACACCCATGCTTGGCCACTCCCCTGCGAAACAGGATGGCCACATTCCCACGCAAAAGACTTGCCCAAATAAGAGCCAGCTGATCATCCGCAAGAAGCTCCGGCCCCAGAGTACTGACGTCACATCTTCATTGGACTCCAGAGCATTGCCAACCAGAAAGCGGGCCATAGTCCAAAGGAAGGAGATCAGCATGCTGATCAGTACAAAACGGGCTGAAAAGCATCCAAACGGCTGGTAGTCAGGGTTACACACTTCAACATCAAGTGTTCTTGCAAGCTCCATGTCAGCATTCAACACCACATGACCAGAGAGCTCAATCACGGCCGTCTGATTCTCATCGCTGATGCAAATGTGACGGAGTGCTCCACTCGCATCTTTCAAGATCTTCATCTTGTGGTTCTCGGGCAGCACGATGGCATCCGGCCCAACTTTGGTCCAAACATTGCGGCGTTTGGCACCGATCTTCTTGCCAAAGGAAGAGATCCCATGCTCAGGCAATGGTGGTTGCCAGCTGAGACATGAGTCCTCCACGGGGTCATGCTCCACTTCAACACGATCATCGTTCTCACCCTCGATCAAGATATGCGCCAAGCGCCCTCCTGCTGTGAGCCTTCTCCTTGCAAGTACTTCATCAGCTTTTGACCCTGGCCCCACAATAATGAGGCAAAGGTCCTTGTAAGACTTGGCATCCATCTTCGACATGACGACTCGTGACAAGCTGTCAAGCTGCTCGCAAGGAGATTACAGCTACACTGCAACACTGCTCGTGTTTGAGGCAAAATGCTTCTTGACTTCTTCTTGAAAAGACCCATGCATCACAACATTCAGCAGACACGGAGCCACACACACGTGCAAAAAAGTGCTTTTAACAGTTAACAATGCCGTTTTTCAAAACTTGCGCATCTCAAAACCACGTTTTGCTAAGAAACTGCATCCACAGAAGTCGAGCAAGGTTGTCATTTCGATATAAACAGCAAACAGATCATTGAGATATTGGCCTGAGTTGCCACTGACACCTTTCCAGCCCAATATTAACTCCACCCGCCTCTGAAGTCGGCTGTCATCGTGGTAGTCTGGTCATCACATGCTCCTGTTGAAGTCGCGCGCTGTCATCGTGTGTCCGACGTACGCGATGCCTTTCTTCCGTTGTTCTTCGACCCAGCTTTCTTTGCAAGGAAATGGAACACACACATCCATTTACCGAACGCTCTGGAGGCAACTGCCGTAGATGAAGCCTCCAGTTGCAAAACTAACATTCATGTAATGTCTTTTCGGTTGTTCTTGACGCATGCATCACCCCGGCCAGCCCTTGTCGCCTGACACACTGTGAAAGTGCTTGTCATGACAATCTACCCATTGGCCTTGACACGCCGTAATCTCCAACAGTTGAAGATTCGAGCTTCCTCAACAACAAAGGGCCCCAGTCTATGCTACAACACCCTATTCTGGCAAGAGAGCACCCACCTCTTGTGGGGGGCTCCAACAAAAATCAGCTTCTGTGGAGCTGCAAGAAGCTACTAGGGGCTCCTGGCCTTACTACTAAGTAACAAGAAGCTATTAGAAACCATATGTCTTAAGTAAGATTAAATCTCAAACTCTTAGGTGCGCCATGTTCGTCCCTCTTCAATTTTGCTTTGGAGCCAAGAGCAGGACGCCTTTGTCGCCTTTTGTTCCACGAGGGAACCCGTGTCGCATTCGACCGAGTCCGCGCTCCACTACTCCTCTACGACCGACGCACCGATGCGACCGACGCACGGAGCTCCGACGTCTCTTTTGTCACACCTGATGCGTTCGGGAGCGTCGGGAGCGGCTCCAAATTGCCGGAGCGTCCGACGCACGGAAAACCAAGGACTGGGTTCCGTGTGAAGCAAAGGACGCACGGTCGTCACACTGCGTTGCTCGGTGAGATGTTCAGGCCAAGCAACCTGATGTTTGAAACTTGAGAGGAGGGAGACACGAAAGGTAAAACAGCGGGAAGAGAAGAGAACGCGAGAGGCAGGAACAAAAATGCAATGTTCGACATGGTGATTTATCCCCTCGGAGGCGACCTTTCGTACATATATGTTCATATGCACTTTAAATGTTCAAACATGTGCTCTCGAAATGTTCAAAAAGACATGGCTCAGATCATCGGTGAGCATTGAATCGGAACATCATAGGATTTGAACTATCCTGAAACCAGAAGAGGCTCACGAAGACGCTCCCCAGGAGAGAATTGACGTGCTTCACAAAACAAACTCTAGGTATGTATCCCCTCGGGGAACACCTTTCGTGATTAGAATTTCATATTCACTCTTTCTGAATGTTCAAGAGGGTTTCAACTATCCTGAAATCATGAGAGGCTCACGAAGACGATCTCCAGGAGAGAATTGATTTTAGAGGGGGGGAGGGGGGGGTGAAAGAGTGACTAGGGCGTACACGGTAGAGGTGCAGACCGCTAGTGTCTTTTATGCGCAGAGTCTTATCCTCTTTCTCTTTGAGCCTTGAAGCAGTCAAGCATGGACACACTATATCAGCTGTTGGAGTGGAACCCTGTACAGGTAGGCTCTACTTTTCAGCAGGCACAAGATTCATGTCCACTTCTAGCTGATTGCGTATGTCGCATACTCTTTTTCTACTGCAAGGCTAAAACAGTCCAGCTAGCTCTGACAACTTAAAAGAAAACTACGGTGCCATGTACTTACCTAATCCAGTGTGTTTCACACTTCAGAGAAGGTAATCTCATAGCTACTAAATACAGTGAGGGAGCAATAGCTGACTCACCTCAAGTACAAAATCAAATCGATAATGTACCTCGGCTGGAGACTGTACTTTTCGCAGGCGGAGATACCATGTACCGGCGCTCACTAGCTCTTTAGGGCCTGAGCTAAATCAAACTAAAAGGGGAAAGCGGCTTTTTCTCTACAGAGACCTATAAAAGAATCAAACGACACTCGCGTAACAAAGAACTAAAAATTCAAGACCGCACAATGCAATGAATTAAGATGCCTTGCAAAATGCAAGGAGCGTACGGTCCGAGGAATAATCTTCTCGTGACGTGGTCTCGACCGCTTTCATTCACAGACAAAATAAACTGCATCAAAAGGACTCTCTTTCACATTCACATCAAAAACACAAGAAGGAGATACCGGCAAATGTATGTACAAAACTTGCACTACAAATGCAGACTTATGAAATGACTTAATCATCAACCATGAATGGTTGTCCATTAGAGGTCATCTCAGAAAAAGCGGCTGTGATAGATATCATCAGTTATGCAAAACTGTCCATACCTATCTGCATGCTAAAGCGTATAAACCTGGAATGCAGGAGTATCTTCTTTGATAAAAAGTTTCTCCTCATTGCAAACCAGAATTTATTAAAACTTCAGCCTGGCAACTTAAAGTCAAGCCTGGAAGCAAAGTATCAACTGTAACCAGAAGTATCTTCACTTCCTAGCCATCATTTAAATTTCAGCCTTCGCTCAGGAATTATACCGCTGCAAACGATGAAGTTGCTTGATCAGAAGTTGGCGGCCTTCCTTTCTTTCTATTCTGCTTCTGTCTCTCCTTCCTCCGCACGTTCGCCTCATGAAGCGTTGCTCCCATGCGATACTGTCTTCTGTCTCCAGATGAAAAGGAAGCTGGTCTGAGTGAAATAAACATTGGACCATGACTGTCCTCGTCAGTGGGCCTTGAGCACATAACCTCTGTGTCAATCATAGCAAAGTTCTCTGAAAAATTACAGATGAACTCCTTCGTGCTCACTGTGGAATTTTCATATTCCTCTTCACTCATTGAATGACCCCATTCAACAATGGTAGACAAACATGTATCGCCAAGCTGTGATCCTTGGTATTCTTCTTTTTCAACAGTAGAGTATTCTTCCCAGAGTTTATCAAAGTAAACTTCACACTTCTTGAGGACCTGTGAAGTAGAACTGTAAAATGTTCTGGGAATAGGTGCTTTGATACCAGGATCTGCTTTGACACGAGCTTCTGAAAACCTGCGGATCCAATGCTGCATGGTGCTGTAATAGTAGTTAGCCATTGGCTGCCTTTTGTACCCAGACATTCTGTAGGCCAAACTATTTGCATCACCAGAAATGATGTCCACCTCATAGACAAAACACTCGTAAAGCATCAACGCTGTCTGTTCTCCTGTCAGTAGGTGGGCATCCACAGCACGGTGTGTATCAACATGATAATTACAGACTCTGATGGTATTCATGTTCGCTCGAGTAAGTGGAACACGCTTGTCCTCAGGACCATAGTCATCAAATTCAAAGTCTGCATCCTTGAAATCTTGACGAGGCCTTGTTTCTCCAAAACAAATCTCGTAGATAGCCCAAGTTACATCACGCTGTTCACAGTGACCAAGATCTTGGTCATGTCCAGCAATGATCTTGACATATCCACCTGGTGCCAATCTAGCCATCACTGCAAGATTCTCCCAATCATTGAAACAAACTGTCCAATTCTTTTGCTCAATAAATTCCTTGGCAGGAACAAGAAGATGAGCCTCCTGGAGAATCAGGACATGTGCACGTAAAAAGAAGAGCATGTTGAAGAAAAGATTGTTTTCAATTTGCTCATATTGAAGTGACATGGCACTCTGCTTGCGTGGCTTCATTGCACCATCAAGTCCTTGGAGAAACCTTGGTGTGGTGTACTTCTGACCACGAACCATGTTGCCATAGTTCCAGGATAAAAATGTCAAGGACTCTGAGCTGGCCAATAAATTGGTTCCATATTGTTCTTCTATTCTTCCCTTGAGGAACCTTCTGCACAGCTCTTCATAGAAGGTGACAAAGTCCCAACTGGGTCCCTTGGGACCATATGATTCCAGTTCCTTCTTTAGTTCCTTTTTCGTATCCTCCAATTCTTCTCGAGCATGACCTGCCCTTTCAAGGGCCTTTGGATCGACCTGATACCTGCCATCCAAATAAATGATGCGATCATCATTGATAAAGAATCTCTTCAAATCATGCTCTGGTTCATGTTCATAACAATCAGGTGGAGGTACTGGACAGACATTTCGAATGGATCGAACAAAATCATTCTCGTTGATCCTTGACTGATAATGAGGATGGGAAATCTCACCTTTTCTGAAACAAACATGATTCAGCAATCTTGCATGAGTTTCCCTGAAGCGTAGTTGATAAAAGCCAATACCTGGATCTCCTGTAAGCTCTCCAAGCAACTTCAAAGGTGAAGTATGCAATTCATAGGTATCGTCAGCTTTTGTTGTATCCTTTTCAACAACTACTTCAGATGGAAAAGATTCTTGGATTTCAGCCTCCAATTTCTTCTCTCCATCATCCTCTCTGACCTCTTTTATTTTCTCCACCGCCTCTTTCTTCTCTTCCATGGTTGCATCATCCTGAACTTCTTCATGAAAATGAGGATCAGGAATCTTATTCAGGCGGCTTCTCTTCGATTTCCGCTGACCTGAAGTATCATCAAGGTTAGCATCCATCTCACCTGATGGTAAGTGCGATGCAGTTGAGTCTTCACCTATCTCTCTTGACAGAAAGTGTGGTGTTGACTCTTCCTTGGCTTCCTCCTGGTCGTCTTCCATCTTTGGTTCCTCTGAAGGAAAGACACCTGCATTCTCATCAAATATTTCTTCTTCCTTTTCAGGTTCAACTGCAGGATCTTCTTCAGGAAGTTCCTCTTCCATATTCTCATCTTCTAGAAGTGTCATACTTCCAGTATAGATTCCACCAGCGATAGTGGAGACTCTTGTATAAGGAGGAACTTCTTCACCTACTTCAAAAGCTTGTTCTGCAACATCCTTGGTGAGCAAGTCCTCTACAAGATTTTCTCCCTCGGTTCTTGGAAGAGGTCCTGAGGTCTCATAAAAATCTGTCCTCTCTGAACTGAAAGCTTCTGTCGCCTTCTCATTGTCCTTTTGATCCCTGAACAGGTGAGTAATCTTCACAGCTTCTCCCTGTAGCACCTGATCACCTCCTCTATACTTGTCGACAATGGAGCGCCATACTGGAACATCATCATCATCAAAATCAAG